GGTAAGGGCTGTATTTTCTGTAGTTAGGATCAGATTTCTTGAGTCATTTTCAAATTAAGGGTGTTAGTTGATGCTAGTGGCCGTACATCGGCAAGTGTTGATGGCGATAGGAAATTTTAGGAACATGAAAATATTAGTTATGTAGGTAAGAAAGTCAGGATATGCAGCAGATGCTTCATGTTATGATTAATATTATATTCTTGGGGAAGCACTGAACATGTAGGGATCATATACCTGGAGGATGGAAGATAATCAGGTTTGATTCTTGGATTAGGAGCCTATGAAGGGCTCCTAATCCAAGGAGCCAAAGTATGTTAGTCTAGGGTCCTCAGTGCTAGATTTAAACAAAAATTGACTGTAATGTTGGGCGAGATGTATCGCCCTTCAAGGAGATGCCTTGATTCGGAAGGGCTCTTGATCCAAGGAATTAAAGCCTCCCTCCCCTTCCTTGGATCAAGCCCATTTATCTCCCATGAATATAATAAAATCAGCATCTACCAATGCCATATTCCCTTTACAGCAATCATATACTTTATTTTATTCAAAGGGAAGGGAAGTACGTAATCAGATTAGATGGGTCAGCTCCAATTCTTTGGATCAAGAGCCCTTGAGAGGAGCACTCAGTTAGGTTTTTTTTCATTTCTACAGCTCTGAGTTGAATTAAAATTACCAGTAGTGGATAAATAAAAGGCACATTCTTTATAGCAGTATATTTTTCAGTATATGAAAACTAACAGTATATGTACAAGGAAGGAAGGCAACATTCTATAGGCGGGAAAGTCATTTTACTTATAAGTTGGTTGTACTTAAATACAAAACCGTTTTGCCATTGAACTAATCAAACATAACTGAATTATGTCAACCATACAAGTATGAAACATAAGAATTGCGAACAAAATCATCTAATACTAAAATTGTCTAAACATTGGAGAAATTAAAACTGCTGTCTGAAATAAATTTAATGAACACAGAATGCTATGTAAATGTCTAAGGGATAGGGTGTTGCAAAGTTGAAAGGTAATGCAGGGAATGGAGTCCTCTGGCACAGCCTACTCTGACTGCCTGACAAGCTTCTTAACTTCTGGCTCATAGATGGCTGGGAAAAGGATGATGGAGGTTTGATGCAATATGGATATTAATGCTCTACGGTATCATCTTCATCACGTGTGGATTTTTCTTGGTGGGCTACACTTCACTTCAACTAAATACATATGGTATGCATGTGTATGTGTATTAGTGGTGTGTGTATATATGTATATATTCTCTAAAGAAGAATATTAAGCCTCTATAATAAAATTTAACATTTCTTCTTAAAAACATGTTTGTTATACAGTGGACCCCCGACTTACGATGGCCTCAACCTACGATAAAACCGACTTACAATGCTTGTCAGCATAAAAATTTGACTCTGACCTATGTTGAAAAACTCGACTTGCATCATTCGTCCCGGACGCAGCTGTCTGGTCCGTCTGGCCTGAGCACCTCAGCTGAGCTAGTGTGACATTGCCCAAGAAAGGCAGTGTGTCATTGAGGACTAACTTATTTCCATTGGGGTCCTTAATCTTGTCCCCCTGGATGCGACCCACACCAGTCGACTAACCCAGGTGAAGAGGAAACAATGCCTGGAACTAGTGCTCATATTGGTGAATTTAAGGCCAGTGGCATACAGTGTGATAAGGCCTGTTCTGGAAGAAAAATGACAAACAGGACCTACATTACTCAGGAGGAAAAGGCACTCCCAGGACACAGTGTCTGATCACCACATCTTTATAAAGGTAAGTGTCATTTATTCTTCATTTAGTACACCAGTACATGCACAATATATATTGTGCATGTATCCTTCTTTTGGTGTGTAGGAAAATGTATATTTCATTTGGTAAAAAAAAAAAATTATTTTCATACTTTTGGGTGTCTTGAACGGATTAATTTGATTTCCGTTATTTCTTATGGGGAAAATTAATTAGACTTACGATGTGCTCTCTGGAATGGATTAATGTTGTAAGTCGGGGGTCCACTGTATATATATGTATGTACTTTACATCAGATATTTAAACTTCCAAATTCTCCTTACTTGCAGGAAAGTTAAGGGAATACAAGATATAAAAGAATAAATGAAATTAGTAATTACCAATGCCTGTATTAAACTTCTTGTAATACTTGTCTACAGAAAATGTAGATATCTAAGCACCCTCAGGAGTTGTATTAGTCAATAGAGGAACTGGACAATGTAACTTTTTTAGATACAAGTCCCCTCATGGAAGGTTCCTTGATGTTGGTGAGGGGCTCTTGATTTAGGGAATTGGATCTGTGCTCCAGTTCCCCGAATTAAGCCTGAATGCCTTCCACATCCCCCCTCCCCTGGGCGCTGTATAATCCTACAGGTTTAGCGCTTCCCCCTTGATTATAATAATAATAATTTAGATACAAGTTTTATGATGCATACATGGTTAGTTCATGTTTCTAATATAATTAAAATATTCAAATGCAGGAGCATAGATATACAGGTCATATAATACATCACTGGTCGAATCTTAGGATTCCCTTCAACACTGAATACGTGTAGTTGGTTAAGGTGACAACAATGCGAGGTGCTACAAAGGACTAGTCCACTTTCATTAATGCATCCCGTATATTACTTGCCTTCAGAATTTGCTTTTTATTAGTAAAATAGCCCTTGTGGCTTAGTGCTTCTTTTTGATGATAATAATTTATTAGTAAAAGCAGCATTGAATAACCCATACAGATTTTATTGTGAATATAATTAATAGTAATGATGCAATGCATTATTTCTTTCCCATACAGAATATGGATTTATATAGTGGATATGGAGGCTGTACAACTTTCCTTTTTGGTCATACAACAAGTCCATCTTTTTTCTTCAGTATCCAGGTGCAAGGCTGCACCATCATTTTTCCCCATCAGGGGGTTTTTTTCTGGATAATTACATCTTTTTTTCAATCAGATTTTCCAATTTTTTTTTCAGCACATTGGGAACAATTCAGTTGCATTTTAATGTTCAAAATCCTTTCACCATGTTTTCATAGAAATGTTACTTGACCAACATTGTGCAAGTGATACTTTGTATTTTATACAGTTAAAACACACACAATTTTGTGACCATAATTTTTTTTTTCAAATTCTTAATTGCCCTTTATGTATGGGCGGGAATCATGGATTGCAAGTAGATGACATTATCTCAAAATACTTGAAGTAACTTTTTTCAGCCCCTTTTGAAAAATGTAAAAATCTTGCTATTTTGGGGTACCTCTGTTTTCAGGTAAATTATTATTAAAAAATAAAAAAGAACGCAAGCCACAGGGCTAACAGCGCTCGCTTCGGGGAAAGTACCTGGGGCTTTGCCCCAAAAAAAATTTTGCAAATCAGTTAAAGAAGGGCCTTGTATAATCCCAATTTTTTGCCTGAAACACCTTCAAAAATTTTTTATACTCTTGAGTATGCATAAATTTAGCTTTTTGGGCCACTGAAGTAACAGCATTAGCACACACCTAAGTTTTATTTTTCCCTTTAATTTTTTTGGCCTGCTAAGACTCCTAAAAAAAGTATAAGAAGTTATAGAATATTTTTTAATTTTGCCATGTTTTTTTAGTTTATAATGCAAAAATTTTGCACAGGATTAAAAACTCAAATTCCTAACCAAACAAGTAAATTTAAACATATACGGTCACAGTTACATCTACATCAAACATTCATGGGGAAAACGAGGGCATACAGTCCCAGATCAAGAAACTTTCCCAACATTAACATCTGAGATTATTTGCTCCAAATTAACTGACATTATCATTGGGTTAAAATTTCCTTTATGCCCGTTAATGCTCTTGTTCCTTTTTGGATTGAACTTGATTGCTTCCTACTCCCCCTCTTAGTGTTTCCCAATAAAAAACCCTTTAGAAATATAGTACAACAAAGAAAATTTAAAAATTCTTGGTGTATGGATCAACAGTGAAGCACTTCGTAACGTGTGTGTTATTATGTAAATTTTCCGTAAGTTCATTTTAAAAAGTGACTTAAAAAATATGACTTTCTCTTTAATTTTTATAAATTAAGTAAAATTTTTTGCATAATACAGTACATTGATAAAAAAAACATGCAACATTTTGGGAGCTTATTGCCAAAAAAATTTGCGCACAGCGCTTTCCCCAGTTCAATGCAGTGAATACAGCACTGGAGATGATGTAAGTAATTTTGAGGTGGTTAGCCCTTCATCTGAAAGACTAACAATTGCCGATCAAGGCTGATCATTTCTTCTATTGCCTCCAGTATTATACTTGCATGTATTTGACTGAGGAAACTTGTGCAAATTAAACTTTTTGGCAATAAAGACATCCAAGTGTTGCACATTTCTGCATCAATTTGTCTGTATTATATAAAAATAGTATATGTGGTTGATACTGTGAAGAGCAACCCACCCACATTTAAAATAAAAAAATGCAAGGACACTAGTTTGGTCATCTGCATGTACAGAGGGCCACTAGTGGACTAGAAAGCATCATACAAGGGAAAGAACATTTGACATGTCCTTTCTAAAAGATCAAGTTTAAGACTCAACCTCCACTTCAAACAAGATATAGCTTTTGAGAATGAAATAATCCAATATTTGTCAGAATCCTTCTACTTGTATAAAAAGACAAGTTTAAAGATATACTAGGGAAACAAGCATAAGTTCTGACAGTACATTTGTGACTAGAAGGTTTGGATCTCCCTCACGAGACCCCTTCTGCCGCTTTAACAACCAAAGTCAACGTGTGCGGTGACATCATTTCTACCCTAAAGTTATAGTCCTTTAAAAAAAATTTAAGTAAATGCTTCAATGATTATAACTGATATTCGAGTTCAAATTGACAAAACTTTCATCACACTTTTCTTTAGTAATTATTTGGAAAGCAATGTCAATGGCATGATGTTACTGGGAATGTACTTCTTGTTCAGTCATAATCTTTGAATCACATTTCCTAGCTACCAGATGTGCATTATTATTTACCTGGAAAAGAATTTATTAGCCTATTTCCAATCAAATCTGATTAGCTGCAGAAGGTGTCCAGGTAACAAAATTAAAACATTTATAAATTATTTGGCACGGGTTTGACCAGTTGATCAAGCATTTGCTAAAAAGCTTCAGTAAGTTCCATTCACACATTATTCTCATAAAGAGACTTTGTTGGAGCTAGGGAAATACTGTACCTCCTTGGTATATAAATCCCTTAAACAAAGTGCATCAAAATAGGTGATGTTATAAACCTGGACCTAAACTTCACTATACAGTAATCAATTATTAGAAGTACTCCTACCTAAATAAATATCGTGTCCTTTGATCCTTAATCCCAAGATGACTAGTTACATAGTAACTAAAAAAACAAAATGCATGTTTATGCTATGCCATTCACTTCTCAATATAAACACCCAAGATTCCATTCAATTTATAATTCCTTTACCCATAGCATTGTGTACAAAGTTTAGGGTGTCCCAAAAGTCTGGACCCAGTGTCGTGGCACTGAAGGAAAACATGGGAATGCTATCAGATCAGTGTGTCATTTTAAGAATCTGTACACAAATTGATGTGTCTATAGCATTTAATTTGAATTATTATTAAAAAGCAAGCAAAACAAAACTGCTTGGGTCATACAGCATTCAATTTGGAAAATAAATATATATATTATACATATTTTCCCTAAGGGTTCAGGCTAGTGGGACAGCCTGTACAGTAATCCTTAATGAGCAGTATCTGAGAACTGTCCCTATTAGCAAGTTCAGTACATGAAACTGACACATCATGATGCTTTTCAGTTTAAAGCATTCCATTCATGTGTCAGTTATTTACTATCAAAAATTAATAAATAACTTAGACAGCAAATAGAAATTCCTAAATTTTAAAATTACATGTACTGAAAAGGGCAGAACAATTACAGATCAGCACCATAAAGGTAAGGGAAAGTTCACAAGGATTGAGGACCTACAGAAGTCCACCTTTGCGACCAAATGATGTCCATCCCACAGTGCCAACATTTTGCTCTCCATTGCCACGTGGAGGTACACTGCCTAGAGAAGAGGGTCTCAGACGACCCCCAACAGTTCCCAAATCTGCACGTTGACCAGGTTTGAGCTGACTGAGACGATTATCAAGGTGACCTGACCCTGGATGTCCTGGAATACCCATTGGGGCCCCAGAAGGAAGTGTAGGACGTCTCTCTCCTGGAGAGAGAATCTTGGGTGCTGACATAATTCCAGCATTTTCAGAAGCAGAAAATGTAGAAGTGGTTGTGGTGGAGAATGTTGTGCTGTTGGTATTAGAGCTCTTGGCACTGTTCATAATTAGATTGGAGAGGTGCAAGAGAGGTGAAGTTGCTGGACGTGACATCACAATTCCACCAACTGTTAGTGCACGATCTGATGACCCAACAAAACGATTCACACCAATGGCTTGTACCTGCTCAACTAAATTTACACGTGGCCCTGCTGGGGACTGAGGAGCCGATGGGTCATCCTTGTAGAAAGTACGACGGAGGAGACTGGCTCCATAGTGGAAAGTTTTGGTCAGATCGTCCAAACCTGAAAAGATGAACCATTTCAAATCTGCTACATGATAAATGTTTGCAATAATGTAAGTACAGGTAGTCATTTATTCAATAACATTAAAGAAGCATTACCTGGTAATTTGTAACCCTCTGGCTCTGGTGAACCCGGTCTAGTAATTGTTGGACTATTAGCAGGTGTAGCTGTTGGCGAAAATCCGCTTGTCATATTCTTTTCCTTTTTTTCGTTCCAGCACCTTTGCCATCCATTTGTTTTGTGGAAAATGTGGCAGTAAAGCCTCTTCGTGATGGGGGGGGCAAAAAGGACCCTCAAGGAAAACGGGAGTTGGGTTTTTAAAACCCCTTGGGGGCTGATGAAGTTGGAAGAACACTGACTTGTGTTGGACCCAAACTGAAAAAAATTAAATGGGTTAAAAAGATAATAAAATTATTAGTTTATAAAACTTTTTCAAAATTTTATGAAATACAAAAAAATAATGAACCTTATATAAGGAAATTTAAAAAAATTACAAAAAAAAAAAAAATTTTGTACAGGGTTTGGGCCCTCACCCAATCTGGCAATCGGGGGGGGGGGGGGGGTTTTTCCCCGGTTTTCCCTCAGTAATCCAGCACTAATTTTTGGCTAGCCTTAAAATTTTTGATTCATTATTATACTGACTCAAAAAATATTTTTCTGACTCAAATTTCCCCTTATTTTTAAAAAACTCAGAAATTTTTGCGGGTTTTTTTTTAAAACCACAGCAAAAAGCCAATGGAGGAGAAAGAAGTGATGAAAAGAGAAGATGTAGCAGAAAGTCCTAATCTAATCTAATCTAACCCCTCTGTAATTTCCCGCAAACTCAAATAATCCGGCACACTACAGGGGCCTAAGATGCCAGATTAGTGATGGCCGACCCCTTAAAAAAAAATAAAGAAAAAAAAATTTCTTTTGTGAATGCTACCAAAAGTTAAAAAAAATTTAACATTTTTGTTTTAAAAACACCAAACTAAGCCGGACACTTTTAAAAAAAAATAAATTCCAACTGATGCTCAATTAATAGGGGTAACCTTTAAGTTGCACCAAAGGGTAAACAAAAACCCTTTTTGGGTTTCCAAAAATTCCCCCAGCTGTTACCTACCAGAAACAGTTCAAAATACAGAAAGTAAAAAAAAAAAAAAGAATTAAAAAAAAAAAGAAGAAGATCTTATTCACCAAATACCCATATTCAGGAGAGGTTTGACTTGTCAATAGTCCAGGATGGACCAAAACATCTTCCTTAACATTCTTCCCCTAAGTGAGGGTTTTTGATGAATTATTCTAGCCATGGTACAGTGATTTTTTTGTTCAAGAATAATCCTAATTAAACACCACATCACATTAAGATAAATCACTATAAAATTAGCATCAAGTTTTATGAGCAAAGCACATTCTACCTTGGCGTGAGGCTTGTCTGATCATCTGGGTGTAGTATGGTTGAGTTGGTGTACGTGAAGACACCTGAGGTAGACATGAACCTCTTGCCTGGGTTCTCCTCTTCTACTTCATCCTCCTCAAGGTCAGACATTGAGTATACATCCAGGTTCAGTTGATCAGCACCAGCACCACCCTATTAGACAGATACACATTGAGTACAGGAAGTCCTCACTTAACGTCGTTGACAAGTTCTTGGAAACTGCGACTTGAAATGAAACGATGTATAATGAAACCAATTTTTCTATAGGCTAATTGATATAAACATTAGCACTCACTGCAACAAGGTTAAATAAAAAAAATGTGTGCAAGCAAAAATTGTAGGGAGCACCTCCTACCACTATGCAGTTCAAAAACAAATGTGCAAATTCCACACAGACAGTAGCCCGAGCCGGGAATCAATTTTTTTCTCATCACTGTTATAACGAAACGACATTGAACGAAATAATGTTAAGCGAGAACTTACTGTATATATCCAGGATTAGTTGATTAGCACCAGCACCACATGCTGGTGATGATCAACTGGATATATATACACACACAAACACTTCACATAAAGACAAAATATTATGAATTAAAGATTTCTTATACTGAATAAAATTCATTCGGTTTATCCAGTCAGTATTCCGATTGAAAGATTAAAGTTGATGAAGACTGCCCCCTTACTTGCATGTTTCAATACTCTTCTGTTCATTCTCTGGCTAACTAGTCTGCAAGTTAGAGACATACCGGTACTTATGCAACCTTCCTTAGTCTTGAAAACAAATAATTATTGTCTTAATATAATAATCTCCCTTTTATCACTATTAAAAGTTCATTCCTTCATTAAAACAATTCAAATATTTCCCTTAAGTATTGCACCAGGTAACTTTTTTCAAGTCAGAAATGTACCTTACACAAATGGGTCAGGCAATCACAGGCCCTATGGCAACTTTAAAATAAACTGACCAATTGTTGCGAGGAAAAAGCGGACAGGTCCCTGATACAATACATATCTTACATATTTTCTAAGAAAAAGTTGAAGGAAGAATAAAAAAAATTTACCCAACATATGTAAATATTTCTAGTGCACATATTATTAATTTATATAGGTAGTAGGTTGGTAGACAGCAACCGCCCAGGGAGGTACTACCGTCCTGCCAAGTGAATGTAAAACTGAAGCCTGTAACTGTTTTACACGATGGTAGGATTGCTGGTGTCTTTTTTTTTCTGTCTCATACACATGCAAGATTTCAGGTATGTCTTGCTACTTCTACTTACACTTAGGTCACACTACACATACATGTACAAGCATATATATACACACACCCCTTTGGGTTTTCTTCTATTTTCTTTCTAGTTCTTGTTCTTGTTTATTTCCTCTTACCTCCATGGGGAAGTGGAACAGAATTCTTCCTCCGTAAGCCATGCGTGTTGTAAGAGGCGACTAAAATGCCGGGAGCAAGGGGCTAGTAACCTCTTCTCCTGTATATATTACTAAATGCAAAAGGAGAAACATTCGTTTTTCCTTTTGGGCCACCCCGCCTCGGTGGGATACGGCCGGTGTGTTAAAAGAAATATTATTAATTTACTGAGAAAGGTTTGGAAATACCTTTATTTGGCAAAATATATACCATACCAGGACTACAGGCTTTGGAAAGGCAAGATGGGCAGCTGCCATGCCCTTAAAATTAAGTAAAAAACTTAACATTTTACAATATATACAAATAACCTAGGTAGTAGGTTAGTAGACAACAACCGCCCAGGGAGGTACTACCGTCCTGCCAAGCAAGTGTAAAACAGAAGTCTGTGATTGTTTTACATGATGGTAAGACTGCTGGTGTCTTTTCTGTCTCAAACATTCAAGATTTCAGGTACGTCTTGCTACTTCTTCTTACACTTAGACACACTACACATGTACAAGCATATACAGCCTCTCTTCATTTACCGACATACTTGTTTACCGATGACTCAGACTTCTAACAGGCTCTCTGACCAGTATGCATACCTCTACACGTATTTCCTCTATTCTGTTTATTACAATATACAGTACACTACTGTATAAATAACAGAAAGGCACAATACCGTGACTGGAACAATACACAAATAACCCGCACCTACGAGAAAGGAGCTTACGACGGCGATTCGGTCTAACTTGGACCATTTACAAAGTCATACTAACAAAAATGAGAGGAGGAGGAAATATATATAGGCCAGCAGACAGGGATGGGACAAGTGAGGTACTAGGAAAGGAAGAAAAGTAGTGGTAGAGAGAGTAGTAGTAGTAGTGAAGTCAGTCAAAGACTAAGAAAGAGGAGCACTGCAAGAGAGCTAGGGGCCCACAAATGGTAGAAACAAAAACACAGAGGGAGAAAAATAATAGTAATGGACCAGATACCCAAGGCAGAAGAAAGAAAACCCAAAGGAGAAAGAGAAAAGGAGAAGGGGGAAAAAAGAATGAGGTTAAGTCACAGGTGTTCTGAAATTTGGAACATTATACAATGTAATGGGAAAGGAAGGCATCTACAGAGACAAAGCCAGAACCAAGATTCATACAAGGAAAGTTGTGTATAAGGGAGGATTCAACCAGACAGTGACTGTGAAAGTTCGATGTAGGGTAGACAGTTTTAGCAGAAGACCAGTCAACAGGATGACTGTGATCTCTGACATGACAGAAAGGGAACATAATAGTATGCTCCTCACTAACGACAAATTTGTTTACCGACGTGGTCTTAAGAACAGAATTCCATCATACATACACACCCCTCTGGGTTTTCTTCTATTTTCTTACTAGTTTTTGTTCTTGTTTATTTCCTCTTATCTCCATGGGGAAGTGGAACAGAATTTTTCTTCTGTAAGCCATGCATGCTGTAAGAGGCGACTAAAATGCCGGGAGTAAGGAGCTAGTAACCCCTTCTCCAGTACACATGAATAAAGTTAAAAAGAGAAACTTCGTTTTTCTTTTTGGGTCACCCTGCCTGTGGGATATGACTGATTTGCTGAAAGAAGATGATATACGTATAAATAATAATAATGTAATAAAGAAATAACTAACATGTTAATTATTAATCAAATCTAGCCTACAGCACCATTTAACAGTGGTGTTAGGCTATCTATGCTTACAAATTAGGCCTATAGACAGAGGCAACACCAAGGGGTGGAAGCAAGGGGAAGCTGAAGCCTCCCAAAGCACATCTAGCCCTCCCTCTCCTTCAACCATATTGCCACTGCTGAGCCCCACCTATATAAAACGTTTTGGATCTGCCCCCTGCCTATAAACCTGGGTTGCGATATAATGGACCTTAGAAATAATGTAACCACTACTACTACCTAACACATGGGGTACCTATATATACCCTCTGTGTCCTTGTATTATTTGCAACGGCTTGAGTAAGCTCTGGAGAGTGAAACGTTGCCACAATAAAATGTGACATTAGTTGCATCTGTGTCCTTTTACCTAGCAAGATTATTATTATTAATATTATTCTTTCTTTCAACACACCAGCTGTATCCCACCAAGGCAGGGTGGCCCAAAAGAAAAAATGAAAGTTTCTCCTTTTACATTTAGTAATATATACAGGAGAAGGGGTTACTAGTCCCATGCTCCTAGCATTTTAGTCACCTCTTATGACACACACATGGCTTATGGAGGAAGAATTCTGTTCCACTTCCCCATGGAGAATTAATATTATTATTATCACTATTAATATTATTATAAGATTCATACTGGGCTATAGCTGCCAACAACTACCCAACAGAACTCGGACATTATTTTACACCTTTTAATGCATACAACCTATATCCATGTTGAAGCACTAAACCCATAAGGGTCATACAGTGCCTGAGAATGGGAGAAAAACTTCAATTTAATGAACCGAAAGCCCTTCACTGTTATGAAATTTCCCTCTTGAATGAATTACTGTAAAGACACTATGAAACAAGAACTAAGCTTAAGACTCCATTTAAGTGAGGCTCTTTGAAGCCAGTAAAGGGCTTTTTGGTGCAAGGAACTGGACTTGGCTTCCCTTGGATCAAACCTCATTGCCTCCTATTCCCCCAGGTGTTGTATAACCACTTAAAATTTACGTTATGCTTTCCCCTCATTAATAAAAAAATAATAATAATTTCCTTGGGAGCAAGGGGCTAGTAACTCCCCCCCCCCCACTTCTGTACAAATTACTAAATGTAAAAAGAACAAAAACTTTTGTTTCTTCTTTTTTTACATCGCCAGTCTCAGTGGGAGATGAGTGGTGTGTTAAAAAAAATTAAAAATAATATGTAATAATAATTAGCTGAAGATACATTAAAAAGAGGATTTACCTTAATAGCAACCCCTTCTCTTTCCTCCAGTAGACCTCCAAGATGTGGTGTTGCCAGACGAGACCATTGGTGGAGTGTCAATGATCCCTCAATAGGCTTCACTATCTGAAGCTTCTGAGGCAGCTTCCAGTCACTAGCATTCATGCCACCATAAGTGCTTAAGCCTGACTTGCCACTTCCTGTATGAGGCAAATATTCTGTAAGTAAATAATCTTAGATGTTAATGACAGAAATCTATGCTCCTGTTCTTAACTACAGTTTTACCAAATAATTCTTAATGAATGGGTAGACTATAATGTACACACAAAAATTTACTCTCACCAGTAGACATGATAGAATCTGGTGTGCGGCATCCATAAGGTAAGAAATGCGATGGTGTTCCAGAACGATTTCCTGGACCAAGCCGACGCAGGCACGAGTCCAGGTCTGGTGTTCCTGGCCAGCCTGGGACACCTAAGTGACTTCCTCTGCAGCACAAAGAACTTAATGAAAGTGTATACCTGACATAAAATTAGCATTGTAAGTATGCAATTGAAATCATATATAATCCATAATAGACTTTAAAAAATCATAATATATATTGTACACTATCTTGCTTATTAATTCAGTAATTAGCTCAATTTAAATTACGTATAGTATACTTCATGCATAATTATCTTCGAGCACTTTTTTTTATTTTGCACTCTACTCTTTGACTAAAAAAAAAGATTGTCAATTATTTTCCTAAGAATTCTGCATGACAGTCTTACATGCATATGGATAAAGCGGCTCTACTATTTGCATTTAACAGAAATGCAGTGAAAATGTGGGTGCTGCAAGCAAGCAGGGTGATCTCAATGAAAGAAAAGACATCAAGGCATAAATAAAAGGTGCAAAGAAATACTAACGGGTAGTTATCCTCTGAATCTGTGTGCATAGAAGCATCAGAATCTGCACCAGAATCCAAAGATGGATGTCCTGATCCCCCAGAATAGACAGATGAGCCTTGGGAACCCATATAAGACATAGCATAGGTGCCCCCACTGGATGCCATGTGTGTAGGAGTTGCCATATGTGACGGGGTATAAGGATGGCGGGTAGGCGTGGAGTGCACTGATCCTCCATATCCCAAGGAGCTGAGAGAACCCTGTGATCCTGAGCCAGCACATTTGCCTGTCAAACGCACGGTATCAAATGTGCGACGCATGTTGCTGCTGGAGAAAGACAATGCACATTAGTTTCATAAAAAAAAAAGCAGTTGTAATAGTGACTCAAAATGTGAGAATAGATACTTCTGTCATTGGAGTATGATAGTGAAAGACAGAAATGCAGCGAGGGATGGAGATAACACAAAAATATTGTGTACTGGCTGCAGCCACCAGGAAAACACACTGCTTGATTGTTCTCCTATGCTTTTATCATCCAAAAGGACAGGCACCTCAAATGTGAGGGAGCTACTGCAGAGTATACATGCAGGTATATAATTAGTACTGCTTTGCTGATTATTATTACACAGTCCAAAGCTAGGTTAGGCACTGCAGCTGCCGAACTGGCCATCTCATTCCCTTGCAGGCGACTGGTCGTAACCCATACATGTTTCATATGGAAATTAGTGAAATAAAACCATTATATACTGTATTAATGGTTGAACATCACACGAGAATATGATTATGTATGTATGAATTTGGGTACTATCCCAACTCTGCTATGGTCCCCTGCTTTGAATTTGCAGTACCATAATTGTTTGTATCTGAGAGATCTCCACCTTAAGTAATAAAATTAACCATTTGAAAAAAAAAAATCCAGTGAATTTAAAATGAACTGGGGATTAAACTGCAGATGGATGAGGGCGTTCCTTATAAAACCCACAGTAAGCAAGATGCTTGAGATGGTTATAAAGTTATTTGATATTTTAATACCACACTGTTTTCACTTGTGCTTTTCCACATGTGCAAGTTTTGTGTATAAAATATATTATACTTTAGATTTCACAAATGTTTTACTGTATTAATTCACTGTGTGGATTTAGTTTTCAATTTTATATGCACCCTAACACTTGCTACAACACAACTAAAAAAAAAAGAAAGAACAAGACGTGAAGAACTAGCACCGCAGTTTTATCACCCATCCTTATTAGTAGTATATCATAGACAGTGCTCCTCCAAATTCATGGGTGTATACATTCCTAGAAGTCCCATCAAATCCACAAAGTATCTACACATCAGAAGCCATGGCTCTTTTAATATTCTGCTAATCTAGTTAAAACTGACATTCATAAGAAAGAATGCTGTAAAGAACTGAGATTTAAGAATGGAAAATCCACCAAACACATTTCAACAAAATTATATTTAATTTTCTATTTGACCCAGGTCATGCACCACGCCATAAAAAGTCTTAAAAAATGAAATTGTTGAATGTGTTAGCAAAAGATCCTTAGGTTCAAACCCACCAATCCTCAAAACTCACTGACTAGATGCTGTTCTGTGAGTCCAAAATATTTTCAAATTAGACTGATGTCAACTCTTCAGCTGCTAGTATCAAGTTTGAAAGCATCACTCTGCTGGCATACTGGGCTTTGACATATGTCAGCAATTGCCAGAAATCTGCACTCAAGTAGAGGAAATGTGAAGCCTACCAATAAGCTATTGTACACAAGCAAGACAGAACACAAAAGCATGAAAATTAAATAGGCTTACATGTGTCAAACAGTGGATGACAGACTCTGAAAATTGTTTTTAAATGAACCAAAACTGTGGAAGTTGCATAATGAGTGCAGTATCAAAACACGGTGCAGAGAAAGTGGTAAAAATAAAAATATAATGAATAAAACAGTATACCTGAACTTGTCCAGAAACATTTTCCTCCCAAGTAATACTAGTCTGAAAGATGTGTAATACAAAGCAAAGCCTGGTCACACTCCGGGCCGCTGGGGCGTTGACCCCTGAAACCCTCTCCCTCCCCTCTCCAGGTAAGCCTCTGTTTTAGATGGTATTTCATTCTAAATTGAGCTTTATGGAGTTGTAGAATGTCCCAAAAAACAAGGATTATTCTGCATTATGTGTCTATATACCCACATGACAGCCTGTTGCCACAGTCACCAATACTAGTTATTAAAACTAGTTTTCTTGTTATTAATATACCTGGTAAGAAAAACTTGACTACTGTATATATAACATTACACTTAATGTTTGTACACCTTTCTTAATCCTTCATTCATATTTTAATTAGGATACCAAAACTACCTTTTACATTTTGAACTTAGTAGTCATGAAATCTATATGCTGCACATCCTTTCATATCACTATAATATAACAAAACATTATGCTGCCATTTCTAATAAACAAAGAAATAAAGAAAATCTTTATTTATATCTTATCTTTATAATAGTTTATTCATACATGTTTTACTCATTTCAGTAACACAGTAATATTCCCTGCAACCTTCACCGTGTATACATTTTTCCGTCCTGATTTATATTGGACAGTATTCTATAAAATCCTGTGATCTATCACCCGTCTAATACTTTAAATAAAAAATGAGTAATTACTTGTGGCAATCATCTCCTTAAGTGGTATACAGTACTTGCTATTCTTTGACTATGTAAGGTACAGCATGGTACATACATCTCGTGTTCAGATATTTAAATAAAATATTGGTATAATTTAAACTAATTTAAACTTGACGTGCTGTTGGAGTGTGAGCAAAGTAACATTTATGAAAGGGTTCAGGGAAACCGGCAGGCCGGACTTGAGTCCTGGAGATGGGAAGTACAGTGCCTGCACTCTGAAGGAGGGGTGTTAATGTTGGTTTAAAAACTGTAGTGTAAAGCACCCTTCTGGCAAGACAGTGATGGAGTGATTGATGGTGAAAGTTTTTCTTTTTCGGGCCACCCTGCCTTGGTGGGAATCGGCCAGTGTGATGATAAAAAAAAAAAAAAAAAAAAAAATTAAACTAAATCACTATGGACTTACAATTCAGTCTTACTATTTTCTCCAAATTTTTACCTCAGTGACATGCACCAGAATGTAAACCATAAATAATTCTCATCTGTATCAATCATTAGTGTCCCCAGGGCAGAATTCTGGGTATCTACCCTATTAACGATAAAAACTATCACACGATGTGTCTTACTACTTGATGAACATTATTGCTACTGTTGTTAGTACTAGATTTGTTGTGCAACTCATTAACAAATGACAAATGCAGTGGGTGAAGGAAATGACAAAGAATAGCAACCAGAATGAATTGAAAACAATGTGTAGAAATAAAGAACAAGAAGCACAACCCAAAGTGGGACTGAGTGGAGCCTCACCCCCTTCTCCTGAGGAAAACCATCAATAGGAATGGACTACCACTTTATTACCTCTATAACAGTGTCTACATAGACAGCCAAGGCCAAATGCTTTAATACTTAGTTTGCTTCTTTACATCATGTTTGCATTAAATTCTAATATAGCCATCTTACTATATGATTCAAACAATACATGACAGAACACCTAAAATTCTTCTACAGAATACTGCATATCGTTTACAGGTGCCAGATAACAGTAAATATGCAACACAACTGTATTTCAAATAATTTTTCATACATAGTTTTATGAGGTACTGTGCAGACACAGCTTGTCATGGATGAAAATACAAGTGACTACACTTAATACATGTACATCTTTATTGGACACATTTCTGTCCTGGGACCTTGGTTGCTCCTGGGTCCTAGGTCCCTGAACCGAAATGTATCCAATAAAACTGTACTAAGTGTATTCACTTGTGTCCTTTCATCCATACTGTTGATGTCATTATACCTTCCACCTTCGTAGCTTAACATCTACAGTACTTGAGCACTACAGCAACTTTTGATGACATAGTACCTTATGGTCTGGGAAAACATTATCAATTCATTACACTAATTGTTCATATTGGCTATGAGTGATGTAATATTCAGAAGCTATTTTGAAAAGCAAACAGTAACAATACAGGTGAATACAAGTGAATGACCTGAATACTACATCATACATTATATTCAGTGATGCAACTGCTATGTAGAGAGAGAGAGGGAAAGAAAGAGAGACTGTATTTAATACTTTTTATTATTAGTTTTTTTTTTTTTTATTATTATCACACTGGCCGATTCCCACCAAGGCAGGGTGGCCCGAAAAAGAAAAACTTTCACCATCATTCACTCCATCACTGTCTTGCCAGAAGGGTGCTTTACACTACAGTTTTTAAACTGCAACATTAACACCCCTCCTTCAGAGTGCAGGCACTGTACTTCCCATCTCCAGGACTCAAGTCCGGCCTGCCGGTTTCCCTGAATCCCTTCATAAATGTTACTTTGCTCACACTCCAACAGCACGTCAAGTATTAAAAACCATTTGTCTCCATTCACTCCTATCAAACACGCTCACGCATGCCTGCTGGAAGTCCAAGCCCCTCGCACACAAAACCTCCTTTACCCCCTCCCTCCAACCCTTCCTAGGCCGACCCTACCCCGCCTTCCTTCCACTACAGACTGATACACTCTTGAAGTTATTCTGTTTCGCTCCATTCTCTCTACATGTCCGAACCACCTCAACAACCCTTCCTCAGCCCTCTGGACAACAGTTTTGGTAATCCCGCACCTCCTCCTAACTTCCAAATTACGAATTCTCTGCATTATATTCACACCACACATTGCCCTCAGACATGACATCTCCACTGCCTCCAGCCTTCTCCTCGCTGCAACATTCATCACCCATGCTTCACACCCATATAAGAGCGTTGGTAAAACTATACTCTCATACATTCCCCTCTTTGCCTCCAAGGACAAAGTTCTCTGTCTCCACAGACTCCTAAGTGCACCACTCACTCTTTTTCCCTCATCAATTCTATGATTCACCTCATCTTTCATAGACCCATCCGCTGACACGTCCACTCCCAAATATCTGAATACGTTCACCTCCTCCATACTCTCTCCCTCCAATCTGATATTCAATCTTTCATCACCTAATCTTTTTGTTATCCTCATAACCTTACTCTTTCCTGTATTCACCTTTAATTTTCTTCTTTTGCACACCCTACCAAATTCATCCACCAATCTCTGCAGCTTCTCTTCAGAATCTCCCAAGAGCACAGTGTCATCAGCAAAGAGCAGCTGTGACAACTCCCACCCTGTGTGTGATTCTTTATCTTTTAACTCCACGCCTCTTGCCAAGACCCTCGCATTTACTTCTCTTACAACCCCATCTATAAATATATTAAACAACCATGGTGACATCACGCATCCTTGTCTAAGGCCTACTTTTACTGGGAAAAAATTTCCCTCTTTTCTACATACTCTAACTTGAGCCTCACTATCCTCGTAAAAACTCTTCACTGCTTTCAGTAACCTACCTCTTACACCATACACTTGCAACATCTGCCACATTGCCCCCCTATCCACCCTGTCATACGCCTTTTCCAAATCCATAAATGCCACAAAGACCTCTTTAGCCTTATCTAAATACTGTTCACTTATATGTTTCACTGTAAACACCTGGTCCAACACCCCCTACCTTTCCTAAAGCCTCCTTGTTCATCTGCTATCCTATTCTCCGTCTTACTCTTAATTCTTTCAATTATAACTCTACCATACACTTTACCAGGTACACTCAACAGACTTATCCCCCTATAATTTTTGCACTCTCTTTTATCCCCTTTGCCTTTATACAAAGGAACTATGCATGCTCTCTGCCAATCCCTAGGTACCTTACCCTCTTCCATACATTTATTAAATAATTGCACCAACCACTCCAAAACTATATCCCCACCTGCTTTTAACATTTCTATCTTTATCCCATCAATCCCGGCTGCCTTACCCCTTTCATTTTACCTACTGCCTCACGAACTTCCCCCACACTCACAACTGGCTCTTCCTCACTCCTACAAGATGTTATTCCTCCTTGCCCTATACACGAAATCACAGCTTCCCTATCTTCATCAACATTTAACAATTCCTCAAAATATTCCCTCCATCTTCCAATACCTCTAACTCTCCATTTAATAACTCTCCTCTCCTATTTTTAACTGACAAATCCATTTGTTCTCTAGGCTTCCTTAACTTGTTAATCTCACTCCAAAACTTTTTCTTATTTTCAACAAAATTTGTTGATAACAGCTCACCCACTCTCTCATTTGCTCTCTTTTTACATTGCTTCACCACTCTCTTAACCTCTCTCTTTTTCTCCATATACTCTTCCTCCTTGCATCACTTCTACTTTGTAAAAAACTTCTCATATGCTAACTTTTTCTCCTTACTACTCTCTTTACATCATCATTCCACCAATCGCTCCTCTTCCCTCCTGCACCCACTTTCCTGTAACCACAAACTTCTGCTGAACACTCTAACACTACATTTTTAAACCTACCCCATTCCTCTTCGACCCCATTGCCTATGCTCTCATTAGCCCATCTATCCTCATAGCTGTTTATATCTTACCCTAACTGCCTCCTCTTTTAGTTTATAAACCTTCACCTCTCTCTTCCCTGATGCTTCTATTCTCCTTGTATCCCATCTACCTTTTACTCTCAGTGTAGCTACAACTAGAAAGTGATCTGATATATCTGTGGCCCCTCGATAAACATGTACATCCTGAAGTCTACTCAACAGTCTTTTATCTACTAATACATAATCCAACAAACTACTGTCATTTCGCCCTACATCATATCGTGTATACTTATTTATCCTCTTTCTTAAAATATGTATTACCTATAACTAAACCCCTTTCTATACAAAGTTCAATCAAAGGGCTCCCATTATCATTTACACCTGGCACCCCAAACTTACCTACCACACCCTCTCTAAAAGTTTCTCCTACTTTAGCATTCAGGTCCCCTACCACAATTACTCTCTCACTTGGTTCAAAGGCTCCTATACATTCACTTAACATCTCCCAAAATCTCTCTCTCTCCTCTGCATTCCTCTCTTCTCCAGGTGCATACACGCTTATTATGACCCACTTCTCGCATCCAACCTTTACTTTAATCCACATAATTCTCGAATTTACACATTCATATTCTCTTTTCTCCTTCCATAACTGATCATTTAACATTACTGCTACCCCTTCCTTTGCTCTAACTCTCTCAGATACTCCAGATTTAATCCCATTTATTTCCCCCCACTGAAACTCTCCTACCCCCTTCAGCTTTGTTTCGCTTAGAGCCAGGACATCCAACTTCTTTTCATTCATAACATCAGCAATCATCTGTTTCTTGTCATCCGCACTACATCCACGCACATTTAAACAACCCAGTTTTATAAAGTTTTTCTTCTTTTCTTTTTTAGTAAATGTATACAGGAGAAGGGGTTACTAGCCCATTGCTCCCGGCATTTTAGTCGCCTCATACGACACGCATGGCTTACGGAGGAAAGATTCTTTTCCACTTCCCCATGGACAATAGAAGAAATAAAAAAGAACAAGAGCTATTTTAATCAAAAATTATTTGCATTACCTTGAACACTGCAAATCAACCACTGTACTTTTGTTAGTAGCAAATAAACAAGACAAAATAATGCAATTTGTTACATTTATACACCAACTATTATGATTACATTCATGGGAAGCATTAAGCCTAAAATAGTCATAGCATACCTGGAATAGGAGATAATTATGTTAAATCCAAGTACTTTATAGGAAGATAGCTTCAATTCTTTGGATCAAGAGTATTTCACCAGCATTAAGGCACCCTCCCATTAAGGGATTATCTATCAAAAACAGAAATTTTATAATAACCATTGAGACCACACAGCATATTGTCTTCTGGCTTTTGGCAATCAAATAAGTTGTGTTATTATTGATACACTTGCAAAAATGGCACTAAACCCACAAGGATTATATGGCACTACTGGCAAATAAGGTAAACAAGCCTTGCAGCATCACAAAAATAATATCAACCAAACAAGCATTTACGAGCTTGTTGATACTCAAGCCTTATGCCTCATTAGCAAAAACTCCTCTATGACAAAGCCAATATGTGTGATGGTAGTGCACAAAACAGTAAAATTAAGCAGTAAATATATTGCTTGACTGTGTCTCGAAAGTAAAGATCTTATCTTTAGATTAAATGCAATATCATGCTTACAGTAATACAATCAAGATACAACTTCACCAGAATTTCTTGAATTTACTTGAAATTAAGCATTCCTTCCTTGAAGCCACAGTGTTGCCTTACATTCCGTTATTCTGCAATGTTTACCAGAGGCTTCAAAGCTTGTAATATTATTAGGAAAAAGAGGTGAACATTCTAACATTGACAAAAGCTGTAGTAGTGTCACTAAAATCCAAAACAAAACAAAACAAACAAACAAAAAAAAAAAAAATTCATTTCAATTGGCATAATAATTTTGTGTTAGATTTTAGGATCACTAAATAACTGTGGGTGCAAGCAGTGAGCTTTCCCTCAAGCTGACGAGTACCGGTACCTGTATTGGTACAGGGCTGACTGGCTTAAGCCACACATCGGCAGAGTTCCAAGCTTGCTGTTGAAGTATAGATGTAGCTGTCACCAACGTCATAATAACCAATGATGAATTTTATTCATTCTCAATGACAATAATTATAATTACAATATTTTGATACTTTCAACAATAATGAAAATGTATAATAAAAGTAAAATCTCAATTTAACGGACCTTGATTTAACAACTTTAAATTTAATGGACAAAAATCTGGACAGTGGACAAAGTCCACTGTCCAGATTTTTGGAAACAGTGGACTTTGTCCACTGTATCCAGAATTGCTCATTATTGTTATGATCTACTGGGTAAACTGCTCTTACTAACAGCAGACATACAGTCCATTCTTCCTAGCATTGTCTGCTATAATTACAATCACAACTAAACAATTTCATTATTCAGATTTAATGGATCTTGGCATTACAGGAAACCCTTCCTCTCCCACCAACCATCAGTCCAGTAAATCAAGGTTTCACTAAAGAGTATTTTGAAAGTAATGCATAATTATGAGATTTTTTTTTATAGCACATCGGCCATTTCCTACCAAGCAGGGTAACCCAAAAAAGAAGAAACACTCTCACCACCACTCACTTCATCACTGTCTTGCCAGACGTGTACATTATTTAATTTACCAGTTGCCAATACTTACATAAACACAGATTCTTTCAATAATCCCAAGTTGCCAAAATTAGAAATTTCAGATAATATAAACATGAGGTCACTCTTACATTTACCTAATTAATACATGAACATGTGTACAGCATGTCAAAAATATTTGAAATACTGTATTGTACAACTACAAGACATTCCTAGAATTTGTTTTATGGTAAACATCTAGAGGAGCAATGTTTCTCCAATGATGAGAACATGATACACTATTTATTATTCACTAAAATTTCAAGTTAAGTAAAGTACATATCACCCAAAAGTGCTGAGAATTAAGGTAAAAAGGAGTGTGGATCAGATACAAGATGCACATTTATGCAGAAAATGGCAGATGACCCAATATAACTGTACATACAAGGTGCAGATTTATTTGAGAAAAAATTGCATAATTCATTACTGATATGTAATAATGTTGGTAGAATTACCAACAATATGTTAGGTAAAAGGACACAAGTGCAACTAATGTAACATTTTACTGTGGTAAAATATTGCCACAGTAAAATGTTTTATTAGTTGCACTTGTGTCCTTTTACCTAACATTATTGATATGGAAAGAAGAAAGTAAAAAAAATTGAATTACCCAACAATCATTGCCTAATACGTACTGTATATAAATACTATTGCTACTACTGATGGCCCTAGAAAAACCAGCAGCTAACAATTAAGACAATGCCAGGATCTGACTTTTCCTATTTTTTTTCTCTCTCTCTCTCTCTCTCTCTCTCCCTAATTATGTATACTAGGTTTTTGAGAGCATTGGCCTATGGAATGCCACAAATTTTGACACCATATTACAGTTTTGTGTTAATTTTTTTCTCTACAATGTTACAACATATATTTATATACTGTGCATAAAAAAGATTTTTCTTTTAAACACACTGGCCGTCTCCCGCCAAGGCAGGGTGACCCGAAAAAGAAGAAACATTTTTTTCTTCTTTTTACATTTACTAATTTATACAGGAGAAGGGGGTGATATTAAAATACAGGAAGGTAAATAAAAAAAAGTGGTTTAGGTGCCAGTTTCTCAAGAATAAGCCCATTTGAGGTGATCCTTGACACTGCCAGTTTTTTCAAAATTTTAGTGTTTTTCTAAGTGCTAGTTTTTAGTGTATGGTATTAATGTTTATCAGTATTTCCCACCAAGCAAACCTGCATATTTACATGCATTACTGCTCTTCACACAAACATAACCAAAAAATTAACCAGTACAAATAATGAATGAAAAAGGTAAGCATATTGCAGACAACACAGTTACAAAATATCATTGTTTAAAATATAGATGAAATGCAGCACAAGGAATGCATCTGAAAGCATGTTCTCTACTTTACTTTGTATAAAAATACTATCACAAACCTGCCACTTTTTCCCAATTCTTCACCCAGAGAGTTGAGGGAGTGAAGTTCACTGGCGATGGAATCATTCCCAGAGTTGAAGGGAGAACTGAAAAGACTGCTGCCGAGATGGTGACCACGATTTCCTGGCAAGTTCTGGGCGAAAAAAAGTGCATTATTAATTAAAGTGCCCAGGGAACAGGAGGTAGTTTAATTCAAATTTAAGGAAAAACAAATCAGATTCCTGGAATCAAGAGCCCCTCACCAGCATTAAGGAACCTCTCTTGAGTAGTAATGATGAAAATCTCTGACATTTAATATCTAACGAAACACTGGCATACAACTTGTTTGCTGCAATATGCAACACACTATACACAGTACTTTCTCTTAGTGCCACAAGGAATGCATCCTTGGATCTAACCAGTAACTAAATGGGTAACTGCCTACATACTGCTCCACCTTTGGCAATGGAACTGTGATAAGCCAAAACTTTCCTATTTATCCAAGAGTATACCATACCATATACTCACTATCAGTAATTATTTGTGCAATAAATAAACAATTACATACACTTAATGTACAGCATATAAAAATATATCAGACAAAATACAAAATTTTTTTCACAGACTGTGGGTGAATTTAATATATTTTCAACCCTCATTTTACTGAGAAATTACATGGTCATACGTATCCATCAAAATATTCCCAGAGTAGCACACCTTCACCACACTGCTAGGAGTAATCATTCATATAAAATATTTTTAACATTTTGGCTGGGCTGTCACCATAAGGTTTAACATCTGCTTAGAACTTGAACACAATCAGTTCCTGAATGATACTGGGTAGTATATTATGTTTTTCTCTACACCAACATCATACACAATTATCCTTTCAACATCATATTCTATTAAGAGCTGAGAAATGCTTCGGATGAGTGGATAGGGGTATGGCATACAAGGCCACTAGATTCAACACAATTACCAGTCAAGGGGCCTGGTAGAACCAATGGAAATGAGGGCATAGGAATGAAGAATTTGGAACCATGTGATGGCCCACTGACCAGAAGCACAACATCTGGACAGGGCCGAGTACAGAAGGCAACAACCCAATGGCATTAGGGACAGAGTGAGCGATACCAGCAGGGCCTGGGAAGCCATAGCCATGTAATGGAATAGGGACCCTCAGCATGCAAAACCTCTGAAGCTAGGGTGTCACAAAGCAACTTTTGAGATGGGCCTTACTGTACCTACGTAGCAGTATCTTCACAGTATGCACTGGATAATCAATACGTGGTACCCCAGATATCTGACCTATTAACCCAGCCTAAACCCTACTCTACAGCATCCTCCTACACCAACAGATATACTTGGTGGTACTGAACATGTGGATTTCCCCACCTATGACATGACACACCACAAGGAATGTGGATGAGGGAGGTCCAGCCACCAGTGTAGAAAATGCGAGTACACAAAAATTGAGAGAAAATGCATAAATCCTAATCTTGCAGGTATACTCAACATAACAGCTGGAGGAAGTGGAGGAGTGAAGGGAAAACATGGCTAAAAAGGGCCATGGCCCAAACACAATGAAAGGGCAATAAAGAACACAGTAAAACTGATAAGAATGAGAGAACAGGAATGAAGGTTTAGGAGTCATGTGAAGATCTGTCAGTCTTAAGACAACAACACAACACACGAGCAGGGGATGAGAGACCTATATCATTAGAGGTGAAAAGGAGTGTGAGAAGAGATGTACAGGACTGGGGAACCTCTGTGGCTACAAGGAACACAGGATGACCTCTGAGATGGGCCTTTATAGCAATACACAGAAGTATCTCTATACACCAGACAACAAAATGGTGGTCCCCTTAACCCTTTCAGGGTCCAAGGCCCAAATCTGGAGTCACGCACCAGTGTCCAAGAATTTTCAAAAAAAAAATTGTTATTTTTTCTTATGAAATCGTAGAGAATCTTTTTGTGAAGGTAATAAAACAAAAAGTACGAAATTTGGTGGAAAATTGACGAAATTATGCTCTCGCGAATTTTGATGTGTCAGCGATATTTACGAATCGGCGATTTTGCCGACTTTGACTCCCATTTTAGGCCAATTACATTATTCCAATCAACCAAATTCTTAGCTATTTCACTAGTATTACTTCTATTCTATCGATTGAGCACAAGAAATCGCCAAGTCAACTGTTTCAACTACAAAATAAAGTGATCGGAAATTGTTAATTTGGCCAATTTAACACAAAGTTCAAAATATTCCAATTTCAAAATAGGGTCCAGAATAAACAATGTAGGCATTCCTGGCACTAAACTAACATTTCCTCTGTTCATTAGTTATGTTTTGAGGCTTTACAAATAAATTCCATTTTGATTTTTTATTCACATAATGAATTTTTATTCACACCAAAAAATAGAAGATTTACTGTTACGCAATACTGTAATAATTGTATAAATATCATCACCATATTTGTGAATGTACATTAGACCCACCAGCTGGCATGTATTAGACGTGTGAGGTCGTTTGTTTACTCTTGAATATCGGCAAAAATTTAAAATTTCCGCTACTTTGAGCTCAGTTTCAAGCCATTTCCAGTGCTAAAACCAATCAAAATCATCTCTATTTCTGTAATATGTCTTCCATTCTATCAAATAAGACCAAGAAATCGCAAATACAACTATAAAAAACATACAAAAAAACACTGCAAAGTTGCTGTTTTAATCGAAAAATCATGATTTCAGTTTTTTCTCTCATTATACACAGTGTGCTGCAGGATCTGTTTTATGTGGTGCACACATACCACATAGATGTATTCTCTCATATCTAGGCCCAAATGTACCACTCACAGTTTATCAGAGTGAGCTGAGCTCATGGCGTAGATCTACGGTTTGGACACTCACCGTAAAGCCGTAGATCTACGGGACGGACCCTGAAAGGGTTAATACCCAACCTAGTCCTATCCTACCTCAACTGAATCTGTTTATGTTAACAGATATATACCTAGTAGTGGTGGACCAACATGAGGGACATATACTAGCCAGGGAGAGGTGGGAGGACCTGGAGGCTTTTGCCTCCTATTACAGTAAGTCCCTGAATTATACTTGGGTAATACATTAAGTCTTTCTTTGCTTTCACATTATTCATAGTCATTTTTCAAAAATAATACTCAATCAAGGTTAAGAAATACTCCAAGATCCAATTTCTTTAGTAATTCTAGCTCCTTAACTATTAGCAAATTTCTCTTTTGTGTCACATACGGAAGGCTCAACACTGCCACCACATATACAATGATTTTGTACTAAAGTTAACAATGTAAAAATTTAATTCAAATGTTTCATATTTACTTTTATGCACTTTAAACAAGTTTGAGGTCTGTGTGCAGATGAACAGGAAGCATGATTGGTAAGGGTAGTTGACCAAAATGTTCCATTACCTACTCATAACACTTGTGTCATGCATTTCCTTCCCTGTAACTGGGGTATTTAAAATGAATCTTACAGATAAGCCATAAGTACAATGTTTAGAAAGCTGAAAACTTTATTAAAAAAAAAAAGCTGAAAAAAAATACAGAGCCTCACTGCATGGTTCAGCATGAGTTATTGCTCATGCTTAGTGATTTTGTGTGTGTGTGTGTGTGTGTGTGTGTGTGTGTGTGTGTGTGTGTGTGTGTGTGTGTGTGTGTGTGTGTGTGTGTGTGTGTGTGTGTGTGTGTGTGTGTGTGTGTGTGTGTGTGTGTGTGTGTGTGTGTGTGTGTGTGTGTGTGTGTGTGTGTGTGTGTGTGTACGTACTCACCTACTCACCTATTTGTGGTTGCAGGGGTCGAGTCACAGCTCCTGGCCCCGCCTCTTCGCTGATTGCTACTAGGTCCTCTCTCTCCCTGCCCCATGAGCTCTATCATACCTCGCCTTAAAACTATGTATGGTTCCTGTCTCCACCACATCACTTTCTAGGCTATTCCATGGCCTGACTACTCTATGACTGAAGAAATACTTCCTAACATCCCTTTGATTCATCTGAGTCTTCAACTTCCAATTGTGACCTCTTGTGTCTGTGTCCCATCTCTGGAACATCCCGTCTCTGTCCACCTCGTCTATTCCGCGCAGTATTTTATATGTCGTTATCATGTCTCCCCTGACCCTCCTGGCCTCCAGTGTCGTCAGGCCGATTTCCCTCAACCTTTCTTCATAGGACAATCCCCGTAGCTCTGGGACTAGTCTTGTTGCAAACCTTTGCACTTTCTCTAATTTCTTGACGTGCTTGACTAGGTGTGGATTCCAAACTGGTGCTGCATACTCCAGTATGGGCCTGACGTAGATGGTATACAGAGTCTTAAACGAATCCTTACTGAGGTATCGGAACGCTATCCGTAGGTTTGCCAGGCGCCCGTATGCTGCAGCATACGTACGTACGTACGTACGTGTGTGTGTGTGTGTGTGTGTGTGTGTGTGTGTGTGTGTGTGTGTGTGTGTGTGTGTGTGTGTGTGTGTGTGTAGAAAAAGATTGACATAAAATAGAGCCATTTTTCTGAACATTATTTGATATTTTACCAAAATTGGTTATATTATGCAATCCCAAAGTACAATATTTTAGCAAGATCAGACAAAATATTTACCTTCTTCTGAACCCGTCTCAGCTGATCTTGTGTATCGTGTAATAGGTCTAACACCTCTGCATACTTTTCCTTTAGTTCAGCCAACTCCATTGTTAGCTCTTGTTGGCAATCTCTGGCCACTCCCACCATGTTGGCCAGTTCATCATTCTCCATAGCTAACCGTTTGCTACGGGACTGAAGGTCAACCACCTGGGCAAGGAGCTGCGTGATTTCTTCTTGCTGCCGTAGGGAGTCCTCCACTTTCTTTGCAAGTTCTTCACTAAGCTGGCCGATTTGTAAATTTGCATCGCCTATTAATGTAAAAATAAATATTAGCATGAAAATTACTGAAAGTTATCTACAAATGTGAATTTTGTAATTATTTTCTAGCTCATATGCTATGAATAAAAAAAGTTTAGTAGGAAAGTTAATGCAAATGAATTTTATGTCTATCTTAATGGAAATAATTGCAAAGAATTGTAAATAAAAAAGTTACTGACAACTACACTGATGTTCCACATATACATGTAAATTGTAAATAAAAAAGCTATAGAAATTGAAAGTAATATCAACCGAAAGTATTTCTTCTTTTTTGGGCCACCCTGCCACGGTGGGAAACGGCTGGTGTGTTGAAAATAAATAAACCAAAAGATGGTAAATGTAGAAAAATACATCTGCCTTTGGCTTAGAAATGGAAAAATACTCACACACTTAAGGAGATTCTAGGAAAATACCATGTGAAATCATAGAAAATTATGTGAGGAATTCACTGACAGCTACAAAGAAGATAAGGTAGACTTGCTGTAATGACATAGGAAAGAGATGAATGATTAACATACAGTAGGCTCCCATAATTTGTGCAACCATAACTTTCATTTTCAATAATTCGCTTTTAATTTTTTTTGTTTTGTAAAATACTACAGGTCATGGGAAAAAACACTTTGATACAGGGCAGGATATTTTTTCCTTTGTGACACTCCACTGCAATGAGAATGAGGCTATTGTTTTAGAGAAGACCTGGCATCACTCCTTGGTGGTAGCACCATCCCTACAGTCAGTCGTCTTCTCAACTTATGTTTATCTGTCAATATTTGATCTTTTCATCACTGTCTTGTTTCTGGAAATTGACCATGACACCCAGAAGACATACCAAGAAGACATGCCAAGAAGAAAATTAAGGATGAAACCAACTACACCTACCATCCGGCTTACAACCTGCTCGACATACAACGACTCGACTTACGACCGTGTTTTTTATGCCAAATTTCTGGGAAATAAACAAGTGTTTGTGTTGTACAGTGTTTATCCTAAACCTTACAATATAAAATACAGTACTAACAGCATAAAAAGTAAAGTAAAACATGAAATACCAAAATAAAACAATAAAATAAAGTCATTACAAAAATGTTATGTTGATATTCAGTAGTAAAGTTCGACTTACGTCCATTTCGACTTACGACCGGTTTCTCGGAACCAAACTCGGTCGTAAGTCGGATGGTAGGAGTATTTCTAAAAACTTGAAGCTGACTGCTATGCTGAATGGAAATGCATGCATAGTGGAGATAATTCAATAGTACCAAATGAACATACACTAACAATTCTAGACAATGAGATGAAGATAAGAGGTTGTGCAATGAGTAATCTAAAACATAACATGATGGAAGTAATGAGAAATAGGTCATTTCAGCTAAATAGGACAGAAAAACTGCTAAATGTGTGTGGACTAAGCAGAACACAAAGAAAGACTTGTCACTTAATGTTGGTATGATCAGGGAAAAACCTTTTATACTCTAAATCAGTTTGTGGGCAGCATAAAGTCTGCAGAAGAGTGTTTATTTAGTTCTGGCTATTTCTACCAGTTTAAGGTGGCCAGTGTGCTACATAAAACACAATTGAGTGGGGGCGGTGTAACTGCCCACCACGGTGCATCTGCCCACTGTGCTGCTGGTGGGAATTTCCTTGCACAGTTGGAGGAAATAATTGCTGAGGGTTACAGACCTGAGCAAGTGTTTAATGCTGGGGAGACAGGCAAATTTTGGAAGAAGCTGCCATCTAGAACTTTACATCAGTAGGCAAGAGAAAATTGCCCAAGAACCACAGCCATCCACCTCAACCCAATAGAGCCATAGTAATCCTCTCCACTGATGTCAAGGTCAGTGTACTTCAACGACCAGAATTTAGTAAGAAATATTATTTTACTTATATTTTTAATTACATGTACAGTCATATTGTTTGTCTTTATAGGGTTAACCTAGGTCCAATCTACATAAGTCAACTTTCTATGTGCCTATAACATCTGTATACTCCCAGGGCACATTTCTAAATTAGCAAGCAATGACTTTTTACACATTTGAATACACAGGCTAAGAGCTGTTATTCTGCCTCACCTCATTTCAAAGCTGAGCCCTATCAAAGGGCACAACAATCTACTAACATTCAGGTACCTCCTTACTACTAGATGAATAGTTATAAGGAACCCGTAGTTTGTAAGCGGAGGAAATTACCAAATGAGCCATGGCACAATATAAGGTACTAAAATTTTTAGTATTTTTGGGAGGTGTTAAGAATACATCCCTATTATTCCTATATGTTATTTGCACTGTAAATTATAATGTCATAAGTAATGCAGATTTCAGGAACATAATCCATGCAAATTATGAGAGTACACTGTATATTCATCAGCAGAGTTCAATATAAGAAATACAGCAGTATACTGCACTGGGGTACTGGGACAGTGTCTGATTGAATAATTATGAATAATCTGCCAATGATGTATGTAACAGAGTTTGTAAAAGTTTTTTGGTAATTTTGAAAGTACTGCTGAGTAAATCATAAGTAAATTATGAAAAACTAGACATGGTAAGGTTCATATTAAGTGAGATGTTTGAAACAATGCTCATCCTTGGAAGGCTTTTTCTCCAAAACGTGAAATGCATGTGGTTTCATAGACAGTTATAATATCAGAGAGTATCAGGCCTCAATAACCTGGCAACTTTACAGACAACACCAACGACATGACTGCTGTCCCAACATGCTCAATTCCTAATACAGTATGGTCCTGTTGGAGCATGGACTTCTAAAATAATGAGGCATATTTTGTACAGGAAACTTACTAATCTGTTTAATAACATCTGAGACCAGCTCCTTCTCTTTATCCTCACACTCAATAGTGTCATTGGCCAGCTGGGAGGCCTCCTGACGTAGGCTTCTATTCTCATCTTCCAAGTTTTTCACTCGATGTTGTAAGATGTCAACATTGATCAGACGAAGGCCAGTTGGAGTTGCTGCAAAACATTATCATTATAATTTTAGAGTGATTGAAATACAATACAGCAGTTAACTACAAATGTAGAATTTTATGACTATGGAATTTTTTTTTGTTTATTGAACATTTACTTTACATAATTTTATAATAGAGTGACATAATATGTTAGTTTTTCACCAGTCAAGTATTCATTCAAAATGTGTGTTATAAAATGTGAAGGAGCCACACATCTAAAAAGTAAGGTAGTTGTACAAATGAAATTGCATCTAACACATTGTTAATCATATTTGTTCTTATTCATCAAATGTGGAAAAATGAAAAATAATACTATACATACAATCACACATTAATACAATGTTAGCTAATGCAAGCTGAACTACAGCCACTCTTGGCTTACTTTCACAACTGCTTGTATCATCCACGTCATTGGTGTATATCTGCAGCAGGTCGGTTTTCATCTGCAGATCATGCTTAAGTTGAGTAATTTTGTCACTAGCTGAAGACAACTCTGCATCAAGCAGTGCATTACGTTCCTCTAGGGTTTTGTTGCGTTCAAGAAGTTGCTGTCCGATTTTGGCAGCAAGCTCCAAGTCTTTTTCTTTCTGCAAAATTCAGTGTGTTTATAAATCCTTCTTGCTTATTTTAGTCATGAAAATAATCTAAGCTTCATAATTTATTGCCAGGAGGCCCACACACTGCCAACATGAGATTAAACCATGGAACTAGCCATCTCTCATTATTACTGTGGTCATGGAAGAGATAGCCCTGGATGATAAATTCATTACTGACTAAATGCAATTTTTAAAAAAAAATTTATTTTGTTAGGTAAAATGACACAAGTGCAACTACATATAATGTCACATTAGTTGCACTCATGTCCTTTTACCTAACATATATTGTCGGTAATTCTACCAACATTAATACAGTTTTTATTTTGATAAATAAGTCAAATATTATAAATATTTAACTGATATGAATTAATATTAATATATATGAATTTGTGAAATTTCTGTAAGTATTTACAGAGTGAAGAGAAGGAAAATTCATTTAAATAATAGTAACACATGAGTGAGTGAGTAACAGTCAATGTGCATGCAGTAAAACCTAGATTTAATGAAACATGAATTAGCAAATTACAGTTTACAGATTTAACAGAAAACCAGAGGTCATCCAAAATCCAGAAATAAAAAAAAATTCTGTTAAATTGGAATTTTCCATTATTGTTACAGGCAATTCTGGATTGAACAGGCATAATATGTACATTAAATCCAGAATTGTGGGTCACTGGGTAAATTGATTTTTAGATCCAATAAACATTAAATTAAAAAAAATGTTCATTGATACAATCATGAAAAAATCCCATCATTCAGATTTAATGAACAAGACCAGCCATTTACCTACTGGATTATTATATTTATGGGCCATGCAATGCCAGGAGAACAGGAATATGGCGAGGAATGACCAAAATACAGCACATACTAGTGGCTTTCATTTGTGCCTAACAATAATTTATTATATGTAAACAACATTACCTATATACTGCGGAAATGAAATAAATTTGTATTGTATCGTAATGCAGTTGTATGGAACCTTTATTTACGACCTTTTTCCCCACATACTGCACTTTATCAAATCACAAACAGATAAACATGGTAAGGACAGGTAATTGTGAGTAGCAGTGAGATGAAGGATAAGTGAACTATGACTCAACTTCAACTGTTTCACCTTCAACGGCTCCCTCTTTCATTAGACCTTCATCTTACCTGTGGGTTTCCCCTTTAACCCCATCACTGTCTCCCTCATAGATCTACACTACAGAACCCAGCATCACTCGTGTAGATCTACATCTTAATTACAGCACTCCCAAATATGGTGCGGGTGATAAATTTTGACCTAGACATGTGAGATTGAGTCTGTGCAGTGGGTGTGCAGTGTAAAATAAATTCTGCCCCAAGCAGTGCATGATAGGAATAGCTAATCGCTGATCTTGTATTGTGTTTAAAATAGAGTTTGAGGCATTGTCTAGTATGACTTATGGTTTTCTGGTTGTTTCTTGATGTTAACTGATCAAATGAAAGACATACTAGTGAAACAGACATGATTCTGGTCGGTTTCAAACAGGAAGTGGCTTGAAATATGCCTCAAAGTGGCAGAAATTTTTTATTTTTGTGATTTTCCTGAGGAAAGGTAGGGGGCCCCCCTACCACCCGGCCTTTTTTTCGGGGAAAGGAAGTTATGGTTTATTTGGGATAGCCTGAACCATGACCACTCATTCTTGATTGCATTTTATTTGTAAAGAAATTGGGTAAAATTTCGATTTTTTTGTGAGATGGTGGATTCAAAATGGAGGGGAAGTGTTATATAGGAGAGGCCTGGAGACGTAACTAATGAACAGAGGAAACGTTGCTCTAGTAGCTGGAATGCCTACATTGATTACTTGTTGAATTTTACGTAAAACTGGCCAAATTACCAACTTCTGTGCCCTTTACAGACTAGTTCTGTTAGTTGAATGGGCAGTTTCTTAATCTCAATCAAAAGAATGAATACCATACTAGCTAAATAGCCTGGAACTGAGTTCAACTGAGTAATTGAACTGGCTTAAAATAGGCATCAAAGTGGACGAAATCGTCGACGCGTAAATTGCACCCAGGCAAGTACGTGGCTGCGTACTTCCGTAAGTTTTTCATCAAATTTCGCATTTTTTGATGACAATACCTTCAAAAAAATATATTCTCTGCCATTTCAGAATATAATTTTTCTTCTTTACATTGCAACACTATTAGCGTTTTTAATTTCAGAGGTCGCGACAGTGACAGGATTAAGCACAGTCTTAGCAAACATGTATATAGAATGTTTTGAAGCTGAACATTTTTCCTCCTTCATTCCCTCTTCCATCACTTGGCCTCACTTTGTGGACAACATGCTCATCATTACACTAAGACCTGACATCACCCTCCCCATTTCAAACCTTCAATGCAATGTACACTTCAGGAAGAAACCAACGTTACTTCCTTTCCAAGTTTGACACAGAAAATGGTTTCAAGGTTTACAAGAAACCCACCAACCAGTACAATCATCTCCTAGTGGCCCCCTCTGTAATTAGTATTTTATAACATGTAAACCACACAATACCCAAAACCTGTAAACCCCACATTGTAACCCTTATAGAGAATAAACTTGAATTGAACTTCCACTCAAGACTACGACATCAGGACTGAACGTGGTATTCATAAGTACGTAATAGTATATAAATGAAGGAACATTGCTGCAGCCCTTATAGATTAATATCAAAGAGCTCTCGAACAGATCTTCACTGAACAATGCTCCCCCTTTCCCCTAACATTTCATCATGAACTGCAGATAACATGCCCACAGCATCAAATCAAGGAGGAGGAGGAGGAGGAGGAGGAGGAGGAGGAGGCGGCGGCGGCAACGGCGGCGGCGGCAACGGCGGCGGCGGCGGCGGCGGCAACGGCGGCGGCGGCGGCGGCGGCAACGGCGGCGGCGGCGGCGGCAGTAGCAGCATTATTATTATTATTATGGGGAGCACTAAACCCCTAGAGTTTATACAGCGCCTGTGGGGAAAGGATGGGGTGGGAGGCATTCAGGCTTAATTCAGGGAAGTGGAGCACAGATCCGATTCCCTAAATCTAGAACCCCTCACTATCATCAAGGAACCTCCCTTAAGGGGCTACTTTTTTGAACGTTTGAAGCTACGTCACTGAGGGTTTTGGAAGTTATCCAAGCCATCCCATAATGCTGGGAATGGGGTCAATAACTTTGGTCTTAGGGCATGTGAACATGCCAACTGTTCCAAGATTACATCTCCAAGATCTTCAATAGTGAATTCAACACAGCCACAACTACCTTTATTACCATCATGGCCATAACCAGGCAGGAAGGCCACCAACATAATTAAACTATTACACAATCCCATGTAACAACTATGACTAAATCTATGTACACGAGACAGAGACCTCCACAAATGAATTTCAGAACACCAATATGCCAACAATACTTAATAAAGCCTGCATAATACATTTAAATTCACACAATCACATAATAAACCGGAATGATGTACTAGTTGACAAGGAGGACGGCACCCAGAGAGGAAGAGTGAAGCTGTGCTCATCGGCACCAACAACAGCCTCATCCAGAATAACAGCTTTTGCAATTTAGCTGAACCTCTTGCCAGAAAACTCAAAGCGCGTTTGAAAATCAATATGGCCTAACTTGAACCTCACTTGCTCTTCACCTCACCACTAACTACAATACTTGCTCGCCTGTCCTGTGACTTGATAAACATCATCAATAGAATTTCCATATAACTGCATTTATCTCCTTGCCATCTTGTCGATTTCTCGTATCACTCACTACACACCCATGAGAATGAGATGTAATCAGGTTTGATTCGAGGAAGGGAGGGACACTCTAATTCCTTTGATCAAGAGCCCTAACATCAAGGCACACTGTACATCAATGCCACGATATACCGACAAGTATGTGGGTTTATGATATATTACTGAGAAGAGGTTTCGCCCACAAGTTTATCAAGTCTCCCAATTGAGAACTAACATAACAGTCCCATTGGACGAAAAGTCTTCTCAGTAAAATGTCGTAAACAGCATCAAGGAATATTATATATTACCGCATAAGCAAGGCTGGGTAGGTACTTACCTCCTGGAGAAGTCTGGTCACAGCATCAATATCATTGTAGGTCTTGG